CCCAATACCCATTGCTCCCTGCTTCCTTCCTAATAACCCCTCGATTTTGCTCAAGACAGCAATGTTCCCAGCTGGAACATCCACTTCCAGAGACGGTTAGGGAAGAGGAAGGGAGAGTGGAAAATGTAAAAGTGTGCGAAGTATGTTAAGTGCATGAGCAAAAATGACAGCAAAGCCCACTCAGGATGGTTTTCAAGCAGCACTGTTCCATGATGCCATGGAAGACCCCGAGGGCCAGGGATCTGTTTGCCAGTTGCTGTTCTCCATCAGGATCAGAGAGACCAGGGCAAGTGACAATGTTCTCTGTTGCTGTCACTTTGACTTCGTTCTTGGGGAGGCGGAGGGTAGAAGAGGTTGCTGAGGGTCTGGGCTCTGGATAGGTTAAAGGGCTGCTGTGCTGGGAACGGAAATACTTCTAAATACCTGTTTGAGAAGCAAAATTTAGAATCCACATGGCATTTGGATACATGTTCTCCGAAACATTTCCAGGCCTTGGCTTTCTCTTGTGCATTCCAGGAAGAGCAGAAGCTGCTGGCCAAAGGTCCGGATAATATGGCACCATGAGCTGGGTACTGGTTATCAAAGGCAATGTCGGCCTCTGTTTTTCTCCCAACAATCAAGAAATTTTATTTTGCAACCAGCAAAGGAGCCTGCAAGACACATGGGCTGCCAAGGAAAAATTTAGGGATGGCTCACCCCACGAATGCTGGCTTCCCTTAGCTTAGGGAGTGCGCACTCGATGCTTAGAGATCTGGGTTTCCATATTGGGGTTCACCTGCCGGCTCTGTCTTGTCTGAGATGGACTCTCCCATAAAGCAGATGGCAAGGCCAGGATCTGAATGCAAAAGCTTTTGTGGTAAAGGAGACTGGGTGGGAGAGAAGCCAATATGAGATTTTCCCTCTTTTTTTATTACGGCAAAATACACACAGCACGAAAAGTCCCATTTTAACTCTTTTTGAACACACAGTTGTGTGCCATAAGCATCTTTTCATTGCTGCACAGTCACTACATGTTCTGTTCTCACAGTTCCCTCACCCTTTCAAACTAAAACTGCATGCCCTACGCAGCTCCCATTCTCCCCTTCCCCAGCCCCTGGACAGCACCGTTCTACTTCCTGTCTCCAGGATTTGGACTCCTGTAGGATTCTCAGGCTGTCAAAAGCACACATTTGTCCTTGTGTATTAGACTGATTTCACTAAGTATAATGCCTTTAAGATTTATCCGCCCAGCTTCATTTTAGCAAGAGTCAGAATTTCCTTCCTTTCTAGGGCAGAATAATATTCTGTCCTAGTCTGTTGCTATAACAAAACACATGTAACCTGTGTAGCTGTTGCAGGGCAGAAATACGCTCCCCACAGTTCTGTAGGCTGAGAGTCCAAGGCGAAGGCATCTGGAGGTTCGGTGTCTGGTGAAAGCCCCCTGCTGGGTCACGAGTGGCTGCCTCCTCACTGTAGCCTCACGTGGGGGACACAGCAGGGGTCTTTCTTGAGCACCTTTTGGAAGAGCACTTGTTGCATTCAAGAACACGACCCTTGGGACTTAACCACTCCAGAAGGCACCGCCTCCTAATACCACTGAGTGGCCTTTGGGGTCAGCATGTCAACAAATGAATTCAGAGGACACAAACGTTTGGAGCACAGAAACTGCATCCTGTGGATGGTCACCTCGTGTTTGTCCATCAGTGGACACACAGGTGGCTTCCATCTCTGGGTACGGTCAGCAATGCTGCTGGGCAGGTATCTGTTTAAGATCTGGCTTGCAGACCTCTTGACTATCAATCCAGGGGTGGAGTTGCTGGGTTATATATGCAGTAACTCTGTGTTCAAATTTTATTGTTTATTTATTCATTTATCTTGTCTTTCTGAGACAGGGTCTCACTGTGCAGTTCAGGCTGGCTTTGATCTCACTTTGTAGCCCAGGCTGGTCTCAAACTTGCAATGATCCTCCTGCCTCAGCCTCCATAATGCTGGGATTACAGGCCTGTGCCACTGCATTTGGTTGTGTTCAACTTTCTGAGGAACTCCAGGCTGTTTATTCATTTGCTGTGCCAGTTTACATTCCCAAGAGCAATGCACAAGGGCTCCAGTTCCCCCAGATCCTTACTGGCACTTCCTTTTGGCCTTTTTGGGGAACATATGTGAGGAGGAGCCAGTGGGAAGTGTTTTAATGAGCAGTTACTGCTGTAGGCCGTGAGGCTCAGTCCTCTTGGAGCCTCTCAGAGACAGTGTCAAGCCTGACTCAGAGCTGTCCCACCAAGGGGCCTAGAGTCCCTTACCCACTGACTCTTATCCTGTTGGTTATAGCCTGCCTGAGAACGCCCCTAGCCGTGAGCTATAGATCCCTGCAATAGAGAGCTGGCAGTGTGAAGGAGACAGAGAATGGATGGGTTGGCCAGGACAGTGATGATGTCTCCTGAATCCTCAGCTCTGGTCCTGTTACTTAGTTGGCTGTCACTCACCTATACCCCAGGAGTAAAAATGGTCCTGGGGTGCCCATAAAGGGTAGGATGAGTGAAATGTACAAGGGGCTTTCTAAATTGGAAAGTGCCATCCAAGCAGCAGACCATCCACTTCGGAGGAGTACTGGGCATTCACTGCAGAGGGGCCCTGGAGTCTGGAATGGAACAATACGCTGTGTGGCTTCCAGTGGGCCGATGACTTGGTGAGGTGGCCTATGCTGGCTGAGCGGCCTAGAGGCTTAGCTACGTTTCCATCAACTAAGGGTGGTGAACAAGGCATACTACTCCCTTCATCCATCCGCCCATCCATGCATATATTTATTAGTACTTACAGTGTGCTAAGTAGGGTTTCATTACCGAAGAGGAAACAGACATTCTAATGTAATTATGATGCGTAATTCACCTCTAATTCAGGTGCCTGTATGTCTCAGTCCTGATTTACTCCTGCGGCCTGGTATGTCGTCACCACCCCAGTTGCTATGGTGAAATTTAATCATTACTATGGTGAAATTTTATCACCAATGTGATTGCACACACATCAGTCTTCATAGCCCCTTCATTTCACCACGCATACCTGGGGCCTGCTCCATGCAGGGCGCTGGCTGATCAAGGGTACTGGGGTCAACTGCTCTGAGGAGCTGGCATCTGGTCTGGGCCTCCTGTGACAAGGATGAGGCAGCCACACAAAAACCTGGAGGTGAGGGTGTGGGTCAAGGGCCAGTTGAGCCCCGCAGACCTCCTGAAGAAGCATCGCCAGCAAATCCATGTGGACCAGTTTGTTTACCCTCTGAGCAAACGCCATGGGCCAGGAAGGGTGAGTCATGGACTGAGAACAGACTCATTACTCAAAGTCCATAAGTTTGGGTCCATCTCCATCTCCCGTTCCTCAGACTCCCCATAGGTAATAGCTGTGGCTTGCATGGGTCCTCCAAAAGGCATGTTGGTATTTCACTGTCCCCGTGACAAGACTGGGAGGTGCTTAGGTCCTATGGCCCTGCCCTCACAAACGGGATAAGGCTGCTACTGCAGGGCTGAGCATATCTGTGTTATGAAATTGAACTCTCTCCCCTGCTTCTCCCCCAACCCCGTGTCTTTCTCCATCCTGCCATGCAATGATGCAGCCAGGAGGCCCTCACTGGACGCCCCTCTTCAGTCTGGGACACCCCAGACCCAGGAGAAATATGCTTTCTGCATTTCTCAGTCTGTGGTGCTCTGTCATCGCAGCGATGGTGAACCTTTTAGAGCTTTCAGTGATACAAATGGCCCGCTGTGGCACGCAATCCAGAGGTTCGCCACCACTGTTTATAGCAATGAGACGCTCAGGGTGGGGTTCCTTGCTCGGTTCCGGGACCCACCCCAGGGTGGTGCAGCATACTCCCAAGTGTATTTGCCTGGTCCTTGTCTACTCCACTCTGCTTCCCTGCCAAAGTGAACAGATCAGCTCACTCTGCTGTGTTCTGCCAGGCCCTTCTGCAGTGATGTCTTCACCAGGCAATCATGGACTGAAACCTGGAACCGATCAAACCTCTCCTCTTTTAAATTGTAGGCTGCTCAGGCAGCCCCAGGAATGCCAACTAAGCCAAGAGACCAAAATTATACCACAAGTCACATAACCTGGCCATTCCAGGAAACAGGAGCATTAGAACCAAGCTAGGACGCACATCCCCCGTAGGATCACAGTGACTGCCTACTAAAAGCAGGATGCAAACAGAAACCTGGAGCTCCTAACAGAATGGACAAAATGTCCCAGATGCAAGGAACAGCACCCCTTATATCAAGATCCAGGAGAACCTCAGCTACAGTGCTTGAAGACCAGGCACTGATTTTTTGGAGGTCTCAGGTGTTGGGATGGGCTTCCATCAAGACTTCAAAGTCACTCTGACCATAATATTTCAGCAGCCAATCAGAAGCTCTCCAGAAACAAATGAGGAAGACAATGTGTTTAAATCTCAGCAAAGAAAAGTTAGAAAAAATCAAGTGAAGGCGGGAGGTGTTGCTCAGTGGTAGATTATGTGATTAATGTGCCTGAAGCCAGGGTTCCTGCAACAACTTATTATTGTGAGACCCGGTCAGCATCCCGCAAGGGCTACACTATCCTTCTGAGAGCAGCACATCAAGTGATGTAATATCTTCTTTGAGGCCCCACCTCATGAAGGTTCTGCCTCTCCAGAGGTGCCACTTTGAGGACTACGCTTCCCGCACATGAACCATTGGGGGTGCACTAAAACCCATTCAAAGCATAGCTCATGGTGAGTATTAGAACAGCCAGGCAGGCATGTTGCCAAAAGCACCGAGACCACCTCACCGCTGCCTGCCTGCGGTTTGCATTAAAGCTGACCAAACACTCTGCACTCACATTAGCTACATAGTCCACAAAAGCCTTTGTTCCTAGGCTTCCCAGCAGCCCCCAGCCCTTGGGTGGGTACCAAAACCACCATCCTCCTCCAGGTTCAAGTGTGTATTTCAGGAAGAGACTGTGAAGAGTGGGGTGTTTTCGTTACTTCTCTCTTGTAACTGAGACAAAATACCTGACACTCTGAGTAAAGAGAGAAAAGGTTTATTTAGCTCACAGCTTGTGGAGTTCAATCCATCAACTGAGTCCAAGGCAGGGTGGCACATGACAGAGGGGCAACTGTACATGGTGATGAAAGACAGCAAAAGCAATAAGAGACTGGCTTCCCTGTCTCTTATATTGTCTCCAGTCTACCAGGATTAGGGCAGTGCCAATCTAATCAGTGGAGTGACCCAGCCATCACCCATCTTTAATGCCAGCACCCGTATTCCCAGCATTGAACAGCCACCTCTGAAAAAGTCCTATGACTCCATAAGGCTTTGGGGGGACACCTAGACACAAACCATAATGGTGGGCATGGCCTCAGGTATTGATCTTTCACTGAGCTCTGCCCAGAGCATCTGCAAGAGAAAGGATTACATCTTTGAGGGGAAGTTAAAGGCCCTCCCTCACATAGAGACACATGGGAAGCTTCTGGAAGAAAACAGGAAGAACCAGAAGCCAAGTCTCCAACAAGTGCTGAGCCAGTGGGGCTTGCTGAGTCTGGAAGTTCACTGGCTTGCTAGGAGATGAGGGGGCGCCAAGGCTACGCTGCCTGCTGGAATGAGGGTTCCAGAGCCTGTGACAGCCAGGTCTCTCGCCAGGTACCTACACCCAAGTGGACCCAGCAGGAACACCTTGTGTGTTCTATGCCTGCTCATCTCCTCAGCAGTCCGAACAGGGTTATTATTCTCTTTCCAGCCAGGCTTGTTTTGGGCACTTAGTGCTTTCAGGGCTGGCCTTGCTTTAGCCCCACACATGTGATCAATTTCCATCTTCAAGGGCTCCCTACACACAGATATAACTTTTTTTTTTCAAATAATACCAGACCTGCAATTGGTTGACTGCATGGATACAGAATCTTCAGATATGCAGAGTCCACTGTGTGTGGTTTAAGTGAAGTTAACGCAGCTGTGAAAACACCTTGCATCATCAACCTCCTGCCCCACAAAATCTGATCGTAGGAAATCAGCCATTGTAGCTTCTCTGTACTGAAGATCTAACATGTTGCTTGCACACTGGGGACTTTCTAAGCCTCCCTCCTTACAGGGGCACAGGGATGTGAAGTGCTTAGTGGATCGCACAGCTAGGGAGCATTAGTGCTGGATTTTCGGCCTGGCTGTGGTGCTGGCACCTTTTCTATGGACTTACTCTCTGACTGCTTTCTCACTCTGATTAACAATGCTGTTTTTCACAATTTTGTGTGGGTGTGTTTGCACACATCTCTGATTATTTCAGAACTGGAAATTCCTAGAAGTGCAAGTGAAGAATTGGCCATTTTGAAAGCTTTTGTTAGGCACACATGGAACTGCACTGTGCTCCCAGAAGGCAATGGGATGATGGTGTCCTTGTCACTTTCTCCTCAGAGCTCCAGGGGCAAAGCCTGGTGTGTTGCTGTCTTCCCTGAGATTACTGAAGGTTACTTTCAGTGGCCGATGCCGGAAGGCAGGCTTCATTTCTCTGCACACCTCATTCATGCAGCAAACGCCTCAGGCCTAGGGAGGTGGGGTGGCCACGGACAAAGCCTGGCAGGCGGAGCACAGTGCAGCACCTGAGGGTTTGTGTCTGCTGAGGGTTTCCTGTGTCAGTCTCTGTGTGGGCATGCTGTACTCCCCTGTGAGGTAGATATACAACTCCTGTTTTCCAGATGAGGAGACTGAGGCTGGCCGAGCCTAATTTGCTCAAAAGCCCACTTTGAAGAAGCACTAGCAAGACCTTGCATAACTCATTGCTCACTTGTGCTCTTATCTACTACTCCCTTGTGTCTGAGTCACCAGAAGCCGGGTTGCCACTGTCTCCCTGGACATCACCAAAGGTCTGTTTTATCCAGGCTGCAGCCTGTGAGACACTGCTCAGTCACATGTGTGTGTGCACAGGTGCTCCTGGGAAAGCCACAGTGTCCCAGTTGTGGAAGCTATGGCGGCAGCCTGCACAAGACACTGCTTCCGAGTTCCCCACTCTCCCACCCCTTCCTGCTGAGTGGCCTGCGTTTGGAGCCAGGGTGATTGCTATGGTTGGGTGTGGTCTGTCCCCCAAAGGTTCATGTGTTGGAAGTTTGGCCTCCAGGGTGACAATGTGAAGAGGTGGAGGGACCTCTAAGGGGCGGGGCCTAGTGGGAGGTGTTTAGGTCATTTGGATGCTGCCCCTAGTAGGAGTAAGCTGGTCTCCTGGAACAACTTTTCTTGGTAGTGAGTTCTTATAGACAGAGCAACACTGGCCCCACCCTGCTCTCTGGCCTCCTGTCTTGCCTACCCAGCAAGCATCTCCTTTGCAGATGGTCCTGCCATTGTGATAGCATTCATCATGAGGCCCTAACCAGGTCAAAATAGGTGGGGCTGCCTGATTGTGGAGCTTCAGCCTCTGAAACTTTGAGCAAAGTTTCATTTCTTTACAAAGTATCCATCCCCTGGTATTTTGTTACAGCAACAGAAAATGAACCAACACTGTGATCATCTGAGCCTGGGTTGCTCAAGGCATTCTGCTCCTAAAAGGCAGCAGCTGCCAACAGGGACAAGCATGAGGCTGTGGGGTGAAAAGACTGGGTGTTCATAGCTGCTGACCTGTGTGCTTAGTGGATCTACATATTTTCTGGGAAGGGCTTTTCAGTGTTTAGTGGCTGTTGTTATATCAAATGACCCTTTTAGGTTTGAGTTCCACAGAGGTATGAAGTGTCCTGCAGTAGGTTAGAGAACTCAAGTAACAAGCCTTTGAAGAAAGAAAATCTGCAGTGTAGACACTTTTAGCAAGATCTGTGGTCTGCCTTTGCATGTATCTAGGATCCCCCTCAAGGTTGGTAGGAAACACACACTCTGACTTGAATTAAACTTGGGGGAGATTTGCAGCATTTATTAAAAATGTGGGAGGTATGGCCGGGTGTATTGTGGCTTTTTGCATGTGCCAGGCTGTACACAGGGAAAGGCAGGAAGGGAGGGAGGGAGGCAAGGAGAGAGGTGGGTTTTTAACATGACAGTGTCTGTTCCTGGGCCCTCTCAGCCTTCATAAGCTCCTCAACACCCCTAAAGTAACTCCTTTCCCAATCCCAATGGTTGTTGATGGGAAAATGAATAACTTTCCACTCTAGAATGGGGAGTGTGGGTATGTGGGGGGAAGGGCTGTTTAGGAATCAGAACATGGAGGAGAGGGCAGTCTTACTTACTGTTTGAAGCACAAAAGGGACTGATATTTGTTCACTTTGAACTTTCATGATTCATTGAAAATAAAGCTCTGGGTTGCTCATGCTCTACCTATAGCTTTAGAGTCTTAGGGTGTGGATGAGTGAAGGTTCAGACTCCTCTCCTGTCCCAACACCCAGACAGCTCCTGGGAAGCACTGTTTCCCAGCAGGAGTGAGGTGCTGTGTGAGTACAGCCGTGAGGTTTGCTTTATTTTAACAACTTAGATTCCACAGGAAAGCAAAGGGTAGCAGGAACATGTAAATGGGATATTTTATGTATTTTTTTTGTAAGCCTACCAATATTTAAAATCTGTTCATTAAAAATCCTTCCAGCCAAGACATCACACATGAGGCAGAGGCTGCCTGAAATCAATCTCATCTCTGTTGTCTTCTATTCTAGTGGAGCCTGCTGATTTCTGGCTAGTCATAGAGCTGCTCACAAAAAGACTCCCTACCCAGCAGCCTTTGCAGCTCAATGTGACCAGGTTCTGACCAATGGTGCATGAGCAGATGGGTACATTTGGCAAATGATGCCTGGTCTCCTTTCTTTCCGAGGGCTGTAATGCTGATGAATTGTCTTGGACCCCACTGGTGGGGGTGTCACCTGGAGATGGTGGAACAAGGAGGAAGGAGGTCACAGGCAGTTAGTTGGTGTCTCTGCTGCATGTTACTAAACTCGTTTGTCAAATAGACTGCGTGGCTGCAAGTCCAAGATGAAGCTGTCCATAACTTCAGCTCCTCTTTCAACAGTTCTTCTCCCATACCCACTTCTTGGGTACGGGAGTTACGATCAGGAAAGAATCTTATAAACTAGGGGCTGGGGAGTTAGCTCAGTGGCATCTGCACCTGTCTTGCAAGCAGGTGGTCGTGAGTTCGATCCTCCGTACCACCAGAAAAAAGAAAAAAAAAAAAGAATCTTATAAACTGACTATTAATGAGTTTAAATCATTTGTGACAGTTCTACGCAATGTAGCTCTGTATCTAGATACCTGTGGACTGCAGAGCAATCGGTTTATGTGAGTTAGGCCTAAAAGGAATCACTCGCTTCACCAACTAACACTGCTTCTGAGCTAGAGAGCAAGATGTGCTACAAGCAGGAAGCCAGGCAGTGGGGAACAGGGGTGGAGCTGCAGCTGCCCCGGAGAAGCCTGGTCTGCTCAGTCCTGGCCCGGTCACTAGCAGAGAGAGGACGTGTGTGTGAGCCCAACTCTGAGGTGCTGGGCTGCCAGGAGCGTAGAGTCAGCAGGCATAGTCAAGGCCTGCTGTGTGCTTGATAAACTGCTGGGGATACACTTACTCAACACCAGCCAACCAGGAAGTGCTCAGGAATGCTGGCAAACAGCAACACAATGAGGGTTCACAGATAATCCTGATACTCCCTTAAAGAGGTCAGGGGAGCAGCAGTCAGATACATAAACAGTAACAAGGACACCACAGCCACTGTCAGATTAGACCTGAGAACAACGCAGAAAAACAGTTGCCCAATGCTGGTTGGGACCTGGAGAGAGCTGTCCTCAGTGCCCTACAGCAGGGTCATGACAGTGCAGCTGTCCCTAATCAAGGCTGGACACAGCCAGGTATAACAAGGAAGTTCTCGAGACCAAAGGGGACCCAGGGGGATGGTTCCCCCTGTGGCTCTTCTGCCGTCACGGTGATCTCGCTCATCTGCTGGAGTGCAGCAGGCATGGAAATAGGTCTGTGGCAAGCTCAGGCGGGATGGAATGTGTAGTCTTCAGTGAGGAATTCGGCGGAGACCACAAAATAGCCTGGGTAGGTCTGGCCAAGCTGCACACTGGCGGTACAGTTTTGTTTATTCCACGAGCATTTTAGGGAGCGTCTGTCTGCTCAGGGCCAGGCTAGGAGACAAAAGTAAATCAGATCTGCAGTCCTGGGCTCAGGGGCTTGGAGCTCAGGTGGGCAGACGCAGGGGACCAATTATTGGCCCAAATGTGCAAGAAGGGCTGTGGGAGGGAATTCACACCCTGGAGCTGTGCAGCAGGGACTCACCTGCGTGGGCCAAGTTCAGAAGAGGATGACCACTGCGAAGAGCTGCTTTCTGTGTTTAAGCGACATCCTATGAGCGTGGAATGTAAAACAGTGCAGATTACTGTGGACATAATGCTAATGGCAATAGTGCAGGGCACACTCCCAAGAGAGTGCCCGCACTGTGCACAGAACCAAGCAGGAAGGTGCATTTTGGACCAATTAGAAACCTGCTGTTTTCGGCCCCTCATTTGAAGCTGGTGCTGCTCACAGGTCCAATCAGATGATCTTTCAAGCCTTCCTTTGCCTGTGGGCACAGCCAATCAATGGGCACCGTTGCAGATGCTGCATGTATGCTCTATGTACAGGAAGCCTGAGGAGAGCTCTGATAGGCCCCTTACCTATGGCGGGATGCCAGGGAAGCCTTGATAACGCGCCTGCCCCATTTCTTTGTTTACATTAGAGGGAGGGAACCTGGGAATTTTGGGTACAAAGACTTCTTATCCTTATTCTCAAGGCTGCTGTGAGTCTTCACCACAACACTTTTGCTCTTTTCTGCCTTCAGGAAATGTACACTTCAATGCCTTTTCTGTGTGTCATGTCCAATATTTTCTTTGGATCACCAACAGCCTGGCAAGAAGGCCCAAGGGGAAGCTTCCGCCTGAAACGCTACTGCACCCAGGTCATTAGACTTGCTCACCTGCATCATGGAAAATTTAGAGGCATGCAGCAGCCAGGGCTCTCCATCCTCCTTCCCACAGCCCTGCCAAAGAGCATCCTGCTTCCGCACTGTGTTAGCGGAAACTTTTTTGTCCTGTGACTGGCTTATTTCACCAAGACTAATGACCTGAAGGTTCGCCCAGTGTGTCACCTTCTGTCGCATCTCCTTCCATGTAATTGGCCTTACATTCCATCTTTTCTGTATCCATTTATCTTTCCCTGAACTACTTGGTGTTTCCACGTCTTGGCTACTGTGAATAATGTTCTGGTAAACACTGAAATACAAATCACTCTTCTGGATCCTGATTCTCTTGGCTAAATATTCAAAATGGGATAACCAGATTATATTCTCATTGTATTTTAAACTTTTAAGGAATCAATGTACTGTTTTCCATAGTGGCTATGCCATTTTACACTCCCACAAACAGTCTGTAAGTATTGCAGCTTTTCCACATTCTTACATCTTTTTTAAAATAATCATCATCCTAATAGCTAGAAGACCATAAATCACTGTAATTTTGATTACCATTTGTCTGATGAGTAGTACTGGTTATCTGAAAGAAATGTCTATTCAACTGATTAGCCCATTTTAAAGTCTTGTTATTTTTTTCTTTTTTTTTTTTTTTTTTTGTAATTTTTATTTCCAAGAGAATAAAACTAAGCAAAATAAAGCAATGACACAGGACTTCAAAACAAGAAAATAGGAAGTCAGCAATGGTTACCATAATGCCTCTTGTTGTCTTCAAAACAGCTACCTTTACCATCAGACAAAACGTTGTCATTTGGAGGTGTATGAGCTTCTTATACATTGAGATGACACCTCCTCTAACACGCGGCTTGTAAGTGCTTCTTGTGGCACAGGCTGACCGTCCACCACGCTGACGGTCCCTCTGCTGTGCACAGGCGTGTTAGTTTGATCAACTCCCACTCACTTTTTTCACTTTTGTTGCCTGTGCGTTTGGTGTCAGAACCAAAAAATCATTGCCAAGGCTGATGTCATGATTTTCCCTGAGAGTTGCATAGTTTAAGGATTTAGTCCACATAAACATCAATTTTAAAAAAATAACTTGATGAGGAAATAACTTACAAACCATGTAAGCTCCCAATTTTCAATGAATTGTTTGTCCCTAGACTTTGACAGTTGACTATCACTGAGACTGTCAAGATGCTTCACTGTCCATCCTGCCAAAACCCAGCTCTGCAGCCCTCTCTGTTACTGACTCCCACAGCCCTATTTTTAGATGAGTGTAGGTCTGTTCCCATCACCATTGATCAAGTCGGTGTTTCTGTGATGGGGTCATATAAAATACACTTATGTCCTGTAAAATATGCTCTTATATAGAACATACTCTCATGTCTTACCTGTTTTCCTCAACATGATGCTTTTGACATTCTTGAGTATTGTTGCAAGTATTAAAATTTATTCCTTTTATTGCTGAGGAGGTATGGGTGTTCTAAACCCTATAGGCCTTCCATACTTTATTGATTCATTAATGGATCATTATGAACATTGGCGAGTTCTTTCTGATTGTGGGCTACTAATGCTGCTATGAATATTCACATGTAAGTCTTTCAAGGATTTATGTTTTATTTTTCTTAGATAAATACCTAGAGTGCAATTGCTAAGTCTTATGATAACTGCATTTTAAATTTTGTAGGAAACCACTAAGCTCCACCATAATTGTGTAATAGTTCAGTGGTTCCATCTATTATTTATCTACTGTTTCACAGTTATGACTATGAATTTAGAGGCTTGAGACAACATACTACAGTGTATGATGCCACAGTGTCTGCAGGTCCACTGCCTTGGCCACTTCTGGACCTCTCTGGATGTTACAGCCAAAAGGGGGACTTCTCTGAGGTTTCACTTAAGAATGGTCCACTTCCAGCAAGGGGGTTTATCAGGTTCACCTCCTCACAACTCACCAGCCCCAGCCCCTTGCTGGATGTGGGCCAGTGGTGCTTCGTCTGATGGACCTCTTCTTCAAATCCAGCAAGACAGATTACTGTTCCACAGCATTCACTGGGGAGATCGAAGCCACAATGTCATGTAAGCACAAAAGTGACACCCAGTCACCCTTGCTGTATTCTACTGATCAGATGTAAGCAGAGGTCCCACCTGTGGGGAAATGGTCTAATCCGGGTTCACATCCTGTGAAGTGGAAGACAAAGGAGGTACACAGGACGAAGGAGAGAAATAGCTCTTGATGGTCAGGAGGAGACCTGAAAGTGGGTTATATCTGCACTCTTTGCCTAGGATTTTTTAAACCAAAAAATGATCGGAGGTCAGAAGACTCTGAGTTAAACGAAGGGCAGCCTATAGGACAAGAACAAGCTTACTTAAGCTGGTAATGGGCTGTGATGAGTTGAGGTATGCAGCAAGCCTATGTCTATCTCAGTGGTTTATTAAAAGAACAACATCAGAAGGAAAAGCGTTCTCCAGCTAGATAATGGCAGACACTTCCCGGTAGCTGTCCACCGCCTTGCTTACTTCCTTGCATGTCACATCCCTGGACTAAACTGTACCTCTGGTTCTTGCTAACCCTTGACCTCAGGCTTGGCTTATCTGCATAAGGCCTGGCCATCCTGACTCTACCTTGGCCCTGGCTCCTCCCTCGCTGCCTGTGATGGTACCTAACATGCTTGTCTATAAAAAGAGGATGGAGGTGGATTCTGCAGTGCCATGGCACAAACCTCAGGAGGCAGATGTCTTGGGGGGTCATGGGGAGCTTGCCTGCGGCATTCCACATCATGTCTTTTTGCTTTAGCCTTTCTAGTTGTGTACTACTGTGTTGCAATTTTAATTTGCATTTCCTTGATTTTTTAATGTTGGGCATCTTTTCACAAGCTTATTTGCCATTTGTGTATCTTTTTTTGTAAAGTTTATGTTTATCTCTTTTACACCCATCTTTTTTAAGATAGAGTTATTTTTCATTTTTGCAATGAAAGAGATTTTTAAAAATTTATATGCATTCAAGTTCTTTGTCAGATTAAGTTTCTACTAACATTTTATCACAATCTGTAGCTTTTCTGTTCATCTTAATGATATCTTTTGATAAGCAGAAGTTTAAATTTTTGAATAAATATATGTTTTTCTTTTTGCCATTACTGCTATCTCCTAAGAAATGATCTAATTCTAAATCAGGAGCTGAGGTGGGGAAAGGTGTTTTCTTCTAAAGGCTTTATGATTTCAGCTTTTATATTTAAGTCTCTGATCCACTTTGGGTTTTCCTGTGAATTGTTTCTGCAAAGAAGTAGTTGAGCTTCTTTTTCTTTTTCCAGTATGAAGTCTGGTTGTTCTGTACCGGGATGGGAAAGGTGTTTCCTTCACTAAATTATCTTAGTGTCTTTGTTGAAAATCAGCCGATGTGTGTGGATCCCTGGTTCCTGTTTGTCTTGATTCCATTACCACATTTCCCTCATGACTTTAGGATCGTTGTTGTGTCTTTAACTCTCTCAACACAGAGGCTCAGTTCTCTTTCAAAATTCCTGAGCTATTGTAGGTGCTTTTCATTTCTTTCTTTCTTTTCTTTTTTTTTGTCTTTTTCCTTTTTATCGGTACCAGGGATCGAACTCATGACTGCCTGCTTGCAAGGCAGGTGCTTATGCTGCTGAACTAAATCCCCAGCCCCTGGTGCTTTTCATTTCTATACAAGTTTCAGAACTACGTACTAGTTACAAAGGAGGTCTATCCAGAATTTGAATGGGATTGTATAGAGTCTATAGATAACACAGGGAAATTTTTCAGCTTAAAAATAGATGAGACCCTACATAGGATCCTGTATAATGTTGTCACAAAAATGAGGTTGTCCTATCTAGTTGGTGGGACAAGCACTATTCCCAGTTGTGCCTGTAGTCCAGGAACATTTCCTTGTTCCTTCCAGGTGGTTCTTGTTTGATTAGTACATATTTGCAGTGCATAGTAACTACTTCCGTGTAGGTGTTTGGTACATGTACATAACCCATCTTATTTTTTATGTTCCCTCCCCTCCTTTCCCTTCCCCTTCCTGTCATTTCTTTGTTCCCTTCCCTCTATCTTTGTTTCCTTTTGCCTAGCTTTCATTTTGCTCTTTAATTTATCTATACTTTGGGTTTCTCATGCAGGAGAAGCTATGGAATATTGATGCTTGTGTATCTGATTTATTTCACTTAACGCTATGGTCTCTGGTGCATCCACTTTCCTATAAATGACTCTATAATCAAATTCTACATTTAGATGACATCATATTTCCCACATAGGGGAACCCTGGAAATACCCTTTCTTTTCTCATCTCCTCTTTTGTGCTGTGGGTTTGCATTTACTTCCATTTGTCTTATATCCTTTGTTATTATTTTGCTTTAAATTGTCAGATGTCTTTTGAGGACGTATTTTT